CACCTGAGGTCAGTGGATTATGAGTAGACCCTGAGGGGCCTGCGGACTTCTGTCACTCAACCCACCCTGAAGGACTTTTCAAATGAGATTTTCAATAGAATAAGTCAGAAATGCATAAAATTACAAATTCCAACCATACTAAAGGGCATAGAGTGAAAAGTCTCCCTCCCACTCCACACCCCCAATTTCCTTCCCTAGAGGCTGTCACTCTTAGCAGGCTATAGGCATCCTTACAGAAACATCAGAGATTTCTCTTGGAAATATATATATTTTTGCTTCCCTCCCTTCCTCCCTCCCACCTTGTCTCTCTCTCTCTTTCTTTCTTTCTTTCTTTCTCTCTTTCTTTCTTTCTTTCTTTCTTTCTTTCTTTCTTTCTTTCTTTCTTTCTTTCTTTCTTTCTTTTTTTTCAGATCCTCTCTCTGTAGCCCAGGCTGAAATGCAGTGGCAGGATCATGGCTCACTGCAACCTCAACCTCCTGAGCTCAAGCCATCCTCCCACTTCAGCCTCCCAAGTAGCTGGGGACACAGGCATGTGCCACCATGCTCAGCTCAAATTTTTAATTTTTTTTGTAGAGATAGGGTCTGACTGTATTTCCCAGGCTGGTCTCAAACTCCTGGACTCAAGCAATCCACCAGCCTTGGCCTCCCAAAGTGCTGGGATCATAGGTGTGAGCCACTGTGCCCACCCTTTTTTTTTCCTTGTGGATCAGCCTGAAGCATAATTCTGATGGCTTCTCTTTTCTGTTCAATTATGCACAAAGTAGAGGAAATAGTATAATAAACCTCCATGTACCCATCTCCTAATAATTAGCAGTATTTGACCAATGTTATTTCATCTAACCTTGTTACACTAAAATTTTCTGGAGTGAGAAAACCCCAGGTATCATAACATTTTATCTATAAATATTTCTGTATTCATATCTAGTGGATAATGACCCTTTTAAAAGCATAATCACCTTGTTATTATCACACCCAAGAAATAGAACAAAAAGTCCTTAATATCCTCTAATCTCCACTGACTTTTGCTGACTAATTTGGAATCCCACTGATCCCACAAACTGCAGGAAGTTTGCCTCTGCCCTGGGTTTCAAACAGGGGCCTCCTACTTAACCTGAGAAGTGTAGAAGGTTGAAAACTTGGGCTACAGCAGCCTGAAGCTTGTCCATCCTCCCCCTGGCCCCTGGCTGTTGTTGCTCAGGGCAAAGGCTCTCTATTCACACATTGTTTCACAGCAGAGCAATCTCCCAAGCAACTTCCAAGCAATAAGAGTCTGGAGACAGGCATTCTCTAGAGATGGCTCTGGTCTTTGCTTGCTAGGTGCCATTGGGAAAGTTGTTTCAGTATCCCATCAGTCAAGTTGAACAAATAACGTTGGTTCCCCAGAAATAATACTAGTTTTATTTCTACTTTGCTCAGAAATCACATCAAACAAGCACCCTCTCTGTAGGGGCAACCCTGCAAAAGTTGGCCAAGTTTTTATGGTGGTGGAGGTGGGTTCTGTGGACAGCTTGTTTCTTCACATTGCTAGTAGCTATGTGGTGCTCCTCGGGCATTCTTTACCTGAGATTTTTCATGTGATGATTTTGGCTTCCAGGCTACTCTTTACTCCATCCCAAGCCACAGGCATCTCCCCATCACAAATACCTCTCATGGCCTGCCCCTATCCATCCTCACACTGTTCCTTGAACCTTCAGGAAAGGCAGAAGATCACCCTCCACTCTCTACCCCTGTCTGCCAGCTCAAAGTATGTGACATCTCTGGCCCTCAGCCCACGGTTCTCTTGGCCAGAAAGGCATAGTCTAGCCAATCGGCATGAAGTTGGGTGTGGAAAGTTCTAGCCACAAGTACATAGGACATAATATACTGCCTGCCTGCCAACCAGCCAGTCTTCTATGCCAGGGCTAGGAAAGCTGTAAGACGCAGCCACTTGCCTTCCAAAATTTGGTCTGAGAAGACATTATCCTGGGAATGAGAAGCAAAGCCTCAGCTCTAGAAGCCCAAATGATAGCAGATGACCCCAGGCTCTCACTGGTACTGTGCCTTCTCTCTTCCCCTTTATGCTCTTCTCTGTGCTCAGGGAGAAGTGGGCCACTAGATTGGGCACTTGAGCCCTTATCTAGTTTTTACTGGGAGAAATTCACCGGACTTCTCTGAGTTTCAGAGTTCAGTCTACGCAATGGAGCAAGGAGAACCCACTTGTTCTGTGGCCTTCAATAATCTGATACTATGGGATCATAGAGCAGAGAGTGGAGGTAATATCCAAATGTTTTTGAGTTATTTGCAAGAAAGCTGCACAATCAAACCAAGCTATGATCAAGGGGGACCAGATTCTCTGAGGTACCATCAGAATTGCATGAAGCAAACTGTTTACGAGTTTCATACAATCCTGCATTGTTCCCGCAGGCACCCAGTACAGGCAGCAGGCTGCCACCAAGAAGTCTGGCAGTGCCCTCTTGAGGAATCCCTTGGCAGTGCCAGGAGCCCAGCTGGACTCTGGAGAATATTTCCCAAGGGCACCCAGCAGAACCAGTGGAAGCAGAATCACAGAAATAGGTGGGGGTATGTAGATAAAGGCCTCTGGAGGACCTGGGAAGATACCTTATGAGGTCTGTAGGGAGCCCTCAGGAAAGGTCGGCTGATGAGGTACTGAGGCAGAGTGTCGGGGTGTAGAGAGCAATGAGAATACACTAGATTCTAGGGAGTTGGGAACCTTAAGGCACTGGGATGAGTGAGACACAGTCACCTGGCTGGATCCCTTTTCTGGCCCTGGGCACAAGAACAAGCATAAGAACAAGGTGAAGACAGGGAATGTGGAGAGAGAGAAAAAGAAGGAAATAGAGAGACAGATACACAGAGAGAAACAGAGACAGAGACAGGTAACAGCGATAGAAAGAGATTGAGACTTGGGGAGAAGATAGAATGAATATTAAGGCAATGGAGATGGAGGAAAGGAGAAGAGAAATGTGTATTAGGGGAATGTGGTTGATAAATTGGTATCTGTAAGTTTATTGGGAACACATATTTTCTTTCCAGTAGCATTGCTGTCCCCAGAGCTGCTGCTGAGAACTCAGGGGAAGCTTTGTGAGAGGGCTCAGCCTGAGTGATGTCTCCTGTGTGCAGAGCTGTCTCATCTATTCGAGCTGTGAAGGATCATTTGTCTCATTCTCTAAATCTGAACTTCCAAAGTTTGGGCTCACTCCTGCCCTCTGATGAGCTGAGGAGACACATTTGGTGATTTCTTGCCCTTGATCCTCCCCCTTCTCCAGGGCCATTCTGACAGTGACCATCCAGAAGTTTATTGCTGGCACAATCCCACAGTTGAGCTTCCAAAGCAGGCATAGTCTATGGCTGGTGAGCAGGGCTGGGGAGGGCAAGGGGCCCTAGGACCCTTTTCATCAGTCACATGGCCTGAGTCTGGTCTGCTCTGGAAAGCTACTACTATACCGTTTTGCAAGGGGCAGCATTTCCAGAGATCCTTTTTCCTTGGGGTTGATATAAGAGCAAAGGATCTAGAGTTCTAGGACTCTAAGCAAGCCTCAAACTGTGCAAGATTTGGCCCCCAGTGGGCCCACAGGGGCATCTGCCGAAGACTTGCCCATTTCCTAACAGCAGAGCCCAAGCCAGTAACGTGTCCAAGGTCACAGCCCAAAGAGAAAACTGTAAGACACAATCTTGCCTCTCTCCCTCCCACAGGAAGGTACTAGTTTCTGCTCAGCATCTCCCTCCTGTTCTCTCCTCTCCCAAGGCAAAACCACAGGAAAAATTCCAGGAGACCATACCTTCCTTCTCCGGAGTCTTCCAACAGGTGCCCCTCTTATTATATGCCAGCCAGTTGTTTTGAAGGCCATCCATGGGAGGACGCTGGCCTCTAGGTCAAGGGAGCTGTGAAGGGAGACAGGACTGACAAGTAGCCCAGACAGACACTGCTTAAGATTCACCTGTTCTAGAAAACCTTCCTAGGCTGATCCCATCTAGCACTGGGCATTTAAATACCTTCACAGTCTTTAGAAATAACTTATTGCTAAGGCAGGTTTTATATAGTATTTCCCTGTTTTTGCTGCTTAGCCATTTTTGTCTTACCGATTCTTTCTCTGTGACAAGGACTATATTTCATTTCTCCTCTCCACCCTCACTGCCACCTGCTGCTTCACTCTAACCCACTCCCTGCCTCTCGCCTGCCTGGCTTAAACTCTCTGATGAAGACATTTCATTTTCAGGATGGAATACTGACTACCTGATTCCCAGATCGTGTTCTTGACTTGTCTCAAAGTCGATTATCCTCCTTGGAAATCACCCACATCTTCAACACTGGCCTTTTCTTTAACCTAGTCTGCGAACTTGCATAGGTCTTGCCCACTTCTGAGTCTTTATTATCATAGCTATAAAGTTATTACAATCCTAGCCTCCCCCAGCCTAATCATAATCTGTTCATCGAATTGACAGCCTGCATTTTGTCTTCATGCAGTTGAAACTGAGAAGGATTTGGAGGAAATTTTCTTAAAAGACAATTTTTTCTTCTCTATTGTATTCGTAGAGCTGGGCGGGGCGGGGGGGGGGTGAGGAATGCTTATTTTCCAAGGAATCGGGAGGGGAAAAGTGGAGAGGGCCAAGGGCAGCTAGGAGTGATGTGGGGAGCTGGGGCAGATTTGGAAGGACTTTGGGAGCTAACATCTAAGTTTTTGACTCTGAGCCCCTATCGGGGCTCTCACTTCATGGCTTCTCATGCTTGTGCTGCATATCCCACACCAATTAGACCCAAGGATCAGTTGGAAGTTTCCAGGACATCTTCATTTTATTTCCACCCTCAATCCACATTTCCAGATGTCTCTGTAGCAAAGCGAAATTCCAGGCAAGCCTTAGGGAAAAAAGGAAAAACAAAGAAAATGAAACAATTGGCAGTGAAAGGCAGAAAGAGAAGATGGAGCCCTTAGAGAAGGGAGTATCCCTGAGGAGGTGGGGAAAAGGGGAGGAGAAGGGGAGGAGGAGAGGAGGAGGAAAGCAGGCCTGTCCCTTTAAGGGGGTTGGCTGTCAATCAGAAAGCCCTTTTCATTGCGGGAGGAGAGGACAAAGATACTCAGAGAGAAAAAGTAAAAGACCGAAGAAGGAGGCTGGAGAGACCAGGATCCTTCTTCCAGCTGAACAAAGTCAGCCACAAAGCAGACTAGCCAGCCGGCTACAATTGGAGTCAGAGTCCCAAAGACATGGGTAAGTTTCAAAAACTTTAGCATTGAAGATTCAAGCGGACACAGGAATTCACAAGAGAATTTCCAACTTTGGGGTTCAGGGGTTCCAATGGTTTAAATGAGTCGTGTTTTGGCACTTGTTTTCTTTTTAAATTCCTTAACATTCAGTTAGATTAACTCCTTCTCCGCTGTACTGAGCGTGATGCTTTATTACCAAAGAATTCCAGCAGCACGTGGAGAGTCCCACAGATCCCTGGAGAGAGTGCCCAGCAGGATGGATGTGGTCATGTGTCCTCCTACCCCCTCACTTCCCTCTATCTTCTCTTTTCCGTTGGTTCCAAGGCCCTGGTAACAGTCGGGTCAGCTTGCCCTCCTGGTTCTGCTGGAGACCACTGAGCACTGCCTAGCCCTCAGATGTACAAAATAACTGCTTGCTTGATGCAAACGTTGAACCGTGTTTGGCATCGATAGGAAGCTGGGGATCGAGCAAGCTGGACTCAGGCTTGGCTATGGCTGAGGAGGCCATTCTCAGGCTCAGGAAATGAAAGTAAAGTCCTCAATGGCTTGACCATGGGAAACAGATATGGGTAGGAGAGTGTGTGTGTGCATATGTGCGTGTGTGTGCACCTATAGGAGTGACCATTTCTAGCAGATATCACAGACATAGTTTTCCTGAGGGCTCTCTGCTGTGACAAGGAGGCTGCTGGGACATTAGAGTTCTTGCTAATTTGACTGAGTATTGAGGGCTTTTCTAGGTTCCATGAACAAAGACAGAAGCTACGAGGCTCTGGTGGTAGTTTCTACTCAGAGTAATGTGTGCAGAGCACAAGGGTCTTTGTCCCTACTGGACTCCACAGAGCCCTGTAGACATTGTTCACATTTGGCAAAACAAAGATAGCAGCTTAAACACATACTAAATGAAATGAGACTCAGTTGTCCCATGTATTCCCTATCAAATGTAGCACCCAGTAGACAACATCCACAGAGATCAATTTGCAATTATATTGAGGTGGTTCAGCCTTTAGGTTGTTTCATCATGAAACACAGAAAGAACACTTTGAAGCATGTGTTCAGGTAAAACAGGAGGGAGAGCACCGGACAGGGAGTCAGAAAAATCAGATTCAAATCCCAGATCTGCTACTTATGAACTATGTGACCTTGGTCATGTCACTGAATCACCACTTCCTCATCTGGAAAATGGGGATAGCAATAACTACTTTGTCTACTTTCAGGGTTGTGAGAATCAAGTAACAATAATGTGGAAGTCCTTTGAAAATGGGCAAGATCTATAACAACTGTAAATCATGATAATAACTACTATTAGACAATAATGTGTATACAGGCTGACTCTTCCTCTTTCCAGGATGGTTGGGTTTTCTTTGCGTGCTTGGGTCAGAATCATATGACCAATTAAGTGTGGCCAGATGAGAGGTGAATGTTGGAGGAACTCAATTCCTGCCCTGGGTAACATCAGGAATCCTATCTAATGTCAGCCTAGCTGATTGGATAGGTTGTGCATTAAAAACAGAGAGGGAGTAAAGAAGAATGTTGAATATTACTTCCTCAGGGGATGAAATCCCTGAGGAAAGACAGGAACAAATAAGGTGACCACAGGGACAGTTGCCTGTTATGCAGGCTGGATGGTTTCCTCCAGAGGAAGATTGCCACAGATAAGGGCACCATTGAGGATGCACATTGGGTCCCCAGTCCTAAGGGTGGACGATACTTGGGCCAGGTACATATGATGGAGCAGCCACTGAGTTTTCATTTATTCAATAACAGAGTATCTAAAGTACTTTGAATTATAGATGATCTCTAACAAGGTACCGGACTGCCACTACTTCTGATGTGGAGTGCACTGCTGTTCAACAATTGCAGTAAACACATTATATCATGGAATCTGGGATTGGAAGGAACTTTAGAAGTTGTCTGAGCCAACCTTCAATGCGGGATTCATTTTTACAACAACCAGTTAAATGTTCATACAGCCTCTGCTTAATAACCTCCAGGAACAGGGAACTTACTACTTCAACCATATAGAATCCCTTAAGATTGGAAGCAAGGAGGAACACTAATTCAGTAGTGTCTGCACAAAAAGTTTATGGGGAAACTGATAACTCATTAATTTTTGCCTTGATTTGGAAGGGGAATGTTTCAAGTGAGTCTTTGGGATAACGATGGAACCAGAAAGGAGCCAAAGAGCAGTAGCTGATTATTCTCTGCTCAGAAACACAATGCCATTAATGAACAGCAAAACATTGTCTGCAAGCCTGTTGTCGTCTGAGAACAGTGGCTGTTACCCTGGTAACCAGACTGTGATGCCTCCATCCAAAAGTGGCTGTTTGCCTAGCAGTGTAGTTTTGGCTGGCTTGGAGTAAGTGGGTGTAGCCCAGGCAAAAAGTGTGGCAGCAGAGTCGGGGTCCAGTTTTATAAAATGCCCGAAGACTAACTGAATCCCATCAAAATGGCAAGAATGCCCCAAGAATGCCAGCAGCCAAAAATAAACCAGATCCCAACCGGCATGTTCACCTAGTCTTCCTGGAGACACTGACTAAAATAATCAAGTGCAGCCTTCCCCACCTCACTTCTCTCTTTGGCCGTGCAGAGCCAGAGGAGTCCTTGGAGAGCCAGGCAGATTGAAAGGTTTACCCTGCTTTCCGGGGCCTTAGGCTTAGCTCTGAGCTAGGAAAGCTACAAGTTTACTTAACAGGCTGATAACTAGAACTGCTCTCTCAGAGCGATCTGAGTAATAACAACCTCAACCCTGGGAGGTGGGTGGGAGGGGAAATATAGTCTCCAAACCCATTAAGGTAGAACTCCAGCCAGTAACATCACTTTCCCCTGTTGCTTTTGTCTCTCATCCTGAAGCTTTGAAAGCCATCCCCTGGGTACAGGTCTTTGTCTTGAAAAAAAAAGCAACAGTAGAAAAGCAATAGTAGAAATGCCTTCCCTGCCCACAGCACTTCAGGTCTAAAGAAGACCAAGTGAGGACAGTCACATGATCAGGAAGGGTAACAGCAGCCATGGTAGGTGAATGGAGCAGCCTTTCCTTCCTTTTTTGCTTTCAGAGCCTACTCAGTGCCAAACTTACATCAAAAGCTCAGCAAGTACTGATTGATTAATACCTCTTGGCTACTGCAAAATGGCCCTGAGGGCTATCTCTCAGCTCTGCACTGGCCTCTGAGCTGTCTGCCAGGCAGGGCTCTAGAAGAGAGTCCCAAGGAAGAGAATAAGGTTCCCCAAATCAGCTTCACACTGCAACTAAGGAGAGAGGAGGAAATGGTGGGAGACTGACCTGAGGAACAAGGTATGGCTACTATTGTCTCTAGTACCAGTTACTTCCCTTTCATCTTCCCATTTGTGGGCAAGGTGGAGACAATGTGCCAAGGATAAGTTTTAACAACCAAAGTCCTACCTCAGCTTCCCAATGCTTGCACATAAATTGGAATGTGTACATCATTCATTCTGTGTGTGTGTGTGTGTGTATGTGTGCGTGTGTGCGTGTCTGAAGAGGAGTGGGGAGTATAGGAAACAAGATGGTCCAGATGCTGTTGCCTTGGTAATACTAAAACTGTGTCCAAAGAGGAGGCTGAAATTCCTTTTTAGTTAACCTTGTCCACATGATTTGACTATCCAGCAGGCTTGGATTCCCAGGCCCTAGAGGTTTCGGGACAGTTTTCCAGCACTTGAATGTGGTATATAAGTGCTGATATCACAAGGGATATGTAGGAAAGACAAGATTATAGGCAGGGCATTGTCTGACCAGGACAGGGCCAGAAGCAAAAGTCTTTGTTTGTCTCTGGCACCTCTTGATAATTGTTGTTTTACTCCTAGAACCCACCCACTGATCCCCATCCATCCCTAGTACCAGTCACGGCTACTCTAGCATTTCAGCCTTGTCAATCGCTGTAGGCCCTGATCAAGGAGGCCTCTGTTCATGGGGTGAGGTTAAGGGGTGGGTTCTGGGAGGAGGGTAAGACTGTAGTGCAGATTCGAGACCTAGGGAGATGGGGCCAGTTTCTCACTCAATGAGCCTGCCTGTTGTTTAGCTCTATTGTATACGGTTCTTCTATCTCTCCCTTTGTCAGCTGGATTCAAGGGACAGGCTGGGAATTGTGCAGGGTACAATTGGTCTCTTTCTACCATTCCTTTCTATGAAAGCCCTTCCTCTCCTTCCTTTGATGAGTTCCCAGATTCACACTGAATTTCCATCATGGAGCTGGTCCTTGAGGCGGGCCCAGGGCATGGGAAAGGAGGGAGGGAGAGTTGGGAGCTCTTGGCGCCTGCTTAAAGAGACAGCATCAGGATCAACACAGTCCCTTGATGAACCTGGATCTGTGTAAGTCACATTGGTTCTGTTGATCTGTCAGACCCCTGTGAAGAGCACTGATGAGAAGGGCTTAAAGTTGGAGTGTCAACTATCACAGATTGATTAGACTTGTTTTGGGAGTTTGTATACAAATGTAGCTGACCATGACATGATCTGTTCCCTTTGCTTACATTTTGCCCACACGACTTCGTTATATCCATTTTAACACTTGCTTATATGTGGCTTTGGATTTTGATTCACAGATTCACAGTTTGTTTGCCCCAACAGGATTTCAAGTTTTCTAAAGAAAGGGACTGGCCTTTTAATTCCCTTCTGTTTCTCCTAGTGTCTATGTCACTGCTAGTGTGCTTAATTCTTGTACTGAATTCACATAAACAGAAATGAAAGGAAAACACTGGAGGGGGTCATTATTTTTCTCTATGACCTCTCATCAAAGTTAGGCCGTTTAATCCAATTGAGTTGCATTGAGAAATGTTATTACTATATGGTTCTTTTATGCCAACTCTCCCATCTTGCAGTCTGTACTTAGACTGGAAATGTGAGAATGTCTCTTGAGAGAGCCAAGGAACTTCTCTAGAATTCCTTCCAGCCTTCTTGAATCAAACTCACACCCTTTCAACCAGGAGGGGTTCTGAAATGGAGAGTCTTTGGCTTTAGGCTATTGTTCACACATACCCACGGACATTTCTTGGACTGTGAAAAATCAAAGGGAGCCCAATGGATCTTTTCTCAGAATGCTTTGATTGTTAACTACTTTGATGAAAAAATAATTTCTTGTAGGCTCTGAGTTTTTCTCAGTTAGAATCTAAAATCTGATTCTTGCTTGGACAGACTGACTGAGATTCTTCACTTCTGCTGAACTTAAATGCCCCCAAAGCACTTATCTAGGTTGTGAAGAGATGAACATCTGATGCTTATGCTGATATTACTGAATTGTTTATAGCTTAATAGTGATAGATTTATCTAAAGTCATTTATTTCAGACTACATTAGAAACTCATTAAAGCCTACTTCCTTCTTGTCCCTTGCTTTGAGCTGTAGTGGAGCAGAAAAAGGGAATGCTAAGTTTTTAAAGCTCTAAGAAAATAGAGGAAAAATGGATGTAAAAAGAAAGGCTATGATCTGGTGACTCAGAATTGCTCCTATGGCTTAGCCATTTATCATCCAGTAAGAACACAATCCATGACACTCTCAGGTCATTTGGATGATGATTGAGGGATCAGATACACTCAAGAGGATGTATCTCTTTGCAACCTCATCTTTGCAACCCCATCTTTGCAACCCTGGAGGTGGCATCAGCTAAAGCTTAAAGTGGAGTTCTCTTTTGGCTAGCAAGAGTTCAAGTTCCTCCATCCCTGACCATACCTACACAACAACTTAGCCCTTCCCGGATGAAAATGCTGGGGTGAGTGAATAGGCCCAAGATGGTCACTTGCTAGGGTGGATGGCTCTTCTTACTCTCGGCTAAACAAACAGTCCTGCCATTGTTCCCTGGGTCTGACCCCCTCCCCACCCCCGGGCCTGCAGGCCCCTGTGGAATACCAATCAGGCTCCTGAGATCTCAGGAAAGAACAAGGCTTCTTTGTCCGGGGGAGCGATGGAGGGCTCTGTCCAAGCCCTGACCCTGTGCTGGGGAGAAAGGGAACAGTGGGGTCACTGACCTTCCTCTCCCCCTATTCCCAGGCTTCAGAGACTTTCTTTACTAGAAGAGTCTAAGAGTTTGGGGGTGGGGAGGAGTTGGACAGGCAGAGAAGGAAAATGGCAGTACTGTTTACTTCCAAGCTCCTTTTCTTGACTTATAGGCTGAATCTAGTATCTTAACCTGTTGAGAAAAAGGAAGATCAATTTCTGGAATGTTTTCTGAGAACAACAATCGATTTCAGTTGTTGCGTTTTTCTCTATGGTACACATGTGTGTATGTGCAGATTTGTACACATGCATGCACGTGCGTGTGCACACACACAGGCACATCCATGGGCCAGTTCTGAAAAGACACTCTTCCCAAGCACGTTTGCAAAGTTCATGCTGAGTAAACTCAGCCTCCACTCACAGCAGCACAGCTACAGATTGCTTCTCATAGAGGCCAAGTTTCCTGGCAGCAATGCTTTAATTCTTGGAAAAGGAAGTTCTGTTTCAAATGTTAGCTGCTTACTTTGTTTGGCTTGGGCTTCTGAGCCTCATCTTTGGTGTGACACACAAGTATCTTTGAAGAAGAGCCTCTTTGAAGGCCAGGAAAGGGCTGTCATTTCAGGAGATGGTGGGTAATAGGACTCACTCCTTTTGTGTCTCTGAGAACAGAGGCAAATGCCTCTACCTCAATTTTCCCATGACAGAGATAATTTGGTCTTTCCAAATCTGTTCACATTGATGCAATTCAGCCATGCAAATCACCAGGTGTTCAAGCTCTCTGGGCTAAAAACAAACTGTAACTAATGTTAACAGAATCAGGCAAAGGAGTCCCCTTTCCCCGGTACCCTATAGAAAAGTGAGTGTGGCTTAGAGAAATGCTTGAATACAAAAATCCAAGCCTAAGTAATTAATACAATTTATTTTTATTGTACAAGCTGTCACAACCTGCTTATTCAAAAATAGCAGCTTCCCAGTACATTTGCTGAGTATTTGTGTGTGTGCATGTGTATACTGTGTTTATAGATATATAACATCAGTGGGTGTGTGTATATATATACATACATATATTTATATATATACATACATATGAATTAAGACATTTTTTCTGAAGAGCTTAACATTCTCATTTCTTCTACATTTTAGGGATCTGGCCAAGAGGCCAGAGGAAGCCATTGTTTTCCTCATCTAGTCAGTCATCTACTTGGCAATTGCTAAGTCTAAGATGTCTCCATATGACATCTTAGAGCATGGGACTAGTACTTGGAACACAGCTGCTTTCAGAGCCTGTGACTTCTTGTGTGCCTTTCCTGTTTCTCAGCAACACTGGCGTAGGGCCTGGGATACCAGGTCTGGGGATCTCAGGGACTCTTAGCACTTTAAGACACATGTGTTCCCAGGCCCTGGTGTGTTCTTCTAGTGCCAGAAAGATGTTTCATGCTTTGCTGACTTTGTATAAAGTCTGTTTGTAGCTGTTTTGACAGAATCTCAGTGTGTAACTGAGCGTGGGGACATTAGCCAAGCTGCATTATAGGAGGACAACACCACCATGCAAAGTGTCTAAAATCATGAAGCCTGCATTTTTATTATTGCAAGTAATATCAATCTTCCTATTTTCATTTCTTGTCCTGCGCTAGCTCCCTCCTGTTTGGACTACTCCTCCCATATGTAAACTAAGAAGAATCAAGCATTCCTTGCAACAAATACACACGATGCTCAAAAATATCCAGGAGCATGCAATTTCCAAAGTTTCCTCCACCTGGAATGTTCTTCATGCTAAAATCCTGTCTGACAATACCAGCATCTCTGGCCTGCACTCATCCCTTCCTGGAACTCCTAATGCATTTACCCTCTCTTACCACTTACTTGGCTGCCTGAATTGTTAGTTGAAAATATTAGGTCTACCTAGCTAATTCTTCCTCAGGAAATTAAAGACTCCCATATGGCTGAGTCTGTGTCTTTTCTCTCTTCTTATCCCATATAACACCCAGCATAATGCTGGGCATATAGTGAGTATTCCATAAATAGTTGATGAATGACTAAAATAAGTAAGCAAACAAACAGACCAGAGCAATAAGAAAGAAGAGACTGATTTCATAATCTCTCTGGCTTGCTATTTGAATTGCTGAATTATTATTATTTATTAAATATTTTTAAAATTCTGACAATAAAAGGTAAGGATTTATTTTCTTTCTTTCTTTTTTTTTTTTTTTCCTTGAGACAGAGTCTCACTCTTGTTGCCCAGGCTGGAGTGCAATGGCGCAATCTTGGCTCACGGCAACCTCCGCCTCCCGGGTTTAACAGATTCTCCTGTCTCAGAATCCTGAGTAGCTGGGATTACAGGCATGTGCCCATGCCCAGCTAATTTTTGTATTTTTAGTAGAGATGGGGTTTTGCCATGTTGGCCAGGCTGGTCTCGAACTCCTGACCTCACGTGATCCACCCGCCTCAGCCTCCCGAAGTGCTGGGATTACAGGCATGAGCCACAGCTCTCGGCCAAAGATTTATTTTCAAGGATGAAACAAAGTAAGGATTCTGGGTCAATCTCACATGCTGAAAGCCAAAATCTCTAGCCGCTCCTGCTTTTTGACTCTGGGGTACCCACTGTCTCTAAGCCTATGAGCACCGGGCCTGGCTGGCCTGGCAGAGAGGTTTGAGTGTCATGAGCTACCTACTGGATATGCCTGACTGTTTCCCCTTCTTCTTCCCCAGGCTTGTTAGAGTGCTGTGCAAGATGTCTGGTAGGGGCCCCCTTTGCTTCCCTGGTGGCCACTGGATTGTGTTTCTTTGGGGTGGCACTATTCTGTGGCTGTGGACATGAAGCCCTCACTGGCACAGAAAAGCTAATTGAGACCTATTTCTCCAAAAACTACCAGGACTATGAGTATCTCATCAATGTGTAAGTACCTGCCCTCCCACACAGACCCATCTTTTTTTTCCCTCTCTCCATCCTGGAGATAGAGAACTCTTCAGTACCTTAGTAACTAGCAGGGGACTGGGGTGGAGCCAGAGCGGATTCCTGAGTCTTCCCTCTGTGCAGATCTCTCCTGCTTCACATTCGAAGCCCATTCATTAAGAACAGGTCTGCCTGCCTGCCTGTCAGCCCCTCCCACCCCCGCCCCTTGTCTTCTTACACGTGTTCTGACTTCTGCTAGATGTAGTTAATATTGCCCAAGTTGGAGCCTTCAGTGTAGTAGGTATGGAGAAGCCAAGGGAGGCACTAAGCCTCTCCTATTCCTAGAACAAGTTAGGCTCCTGTTCCTTCATCCACATTTCTTCTTGTCTAGCTCCCCACTCCTGTGAGGTAGCATGTCTGAAGGGTCGGGCAGGGAGAGTAGGTCCCTGGTTCTCCAGGTCCCAGGGTAAGCAAGGTGTGGTGGGAGGAGCATATGTTTCTGGTCACATACACCCTGTCTTCACTTATTTCAACAAAGATAAGGTGAAAGCATGCAGAAGGAACCTAGTGATTCCTCTGGAGAATCCCTAGCCTTGTTAAGGTGCTCGCTCTGGTGTATACCTCACTTATGTGGGGAAAGGAACCAGGTCTTCAATTAATAAGATTCCCTGGTCTCGTTTGTCTACCTGTTAATGCAGGATCCATGCCTTCCAGTATGTCATCTATGGAACTGCCTCTTTCTTCTTCCTTTATGGGGCCCTCCTGCTGGCTGAGGGCTTCTACACCACCGGCGCAGTCAGGCAGATCTTTGGCGACTACAAGACCACCATCTGCGGCAAGGGCCTGAGCGCAACGGTAACAGGGGGCCAGAAGGGGAGGGGTTCCAGAGGCCAACATCAAGCTCATTCTTTGGAGCGGGTGTGTCATTGTTTGGGAAAATGGCTAGGACATCCCGACAAGGTGATCATCCTCAGGATTTTGTGGCAATAACAAGGGGTGGGGGAAAATTGGGCGCGAGTCTGTGGCCTCGTCCCCACCCAAGGCTGGGTCCTCTCTAGGGGCCTGGCATTTGAGTGAGGAAGCGATGGCTGCAGCCGAACGAGAAGGTCAGGAAGAACGTGGTGCCCAGCTGGCTTAGCCTCACCTTTCAAAGGTTCCCTAAGCAAATTTCTTCTCAAAACGGAAAGCATGAGTTTTGTGGGATGCTTTGTACAACCAGACCATTTCTAAGCCATCTGTTGGTATCCCTTTACTCCCTTCCTAGCAGGGACCACAAGAGAAGATCTAACTGGACAAGAATCTAAAATGTGATTGAGACTTGGGCACCTGATCTGAGAGGGAGGATTGATAATAAAAATTAAATAATTGACTCCAAGATGAAATTTACAATATTCTGGGATCCTGCGCTGTTGGAGGTCCCAGAGGGCATTGGAGTAGGTTTGCATGTTGAATGTTTTATCATTGCCTGAGGGTTATCCATGCTTTGAGTGAGGCGCACATTTGTTTTCAGTCTCTGGAGTTAAAGATCCTTTGGGGGCTGAACATGTGTGGGTTCTAGCAATGTCTTTTTGTGGCCAGCAGTTAGCTTAGAAAGGTTTTGTATCTGAAATTTTAATCTCCTATTGGCTTTGTTCAATGACTAGGGAACAAAAATGTTCCTGTGGCAAGGAACATTTTCTAAGCTCAGCCTAAGGCACAAAACGGCACGACTTTCTTTCAAGATCTGTTTTGATTTCTTTACACCTTATCTGCCCAAAAACATCCTCTGAAGCCTCTCTAACCCAGGGATCCTCCTCACTCCTCCCCTACCCATTCCCCCCACCCTCCGTCATGCTGGGGCCAGTTCTCTAGTAGATACTGCCAATGACCCTTGGCAGAGGTGCCCTGCTCACTAATTTCATTTGAGGGAGAGCCCTGGAACCTGGTTTCAATGTCTGGCACACGCCACTCCAGGATCTCCCAGTTTGTGTTTCTACATCTGCAGGCTGATTCTGATTTCTAACCACCCCATGTCAATCATTTTAGTTTGTGGGCATCACCTATGCCCTGACCGTTGTGTGGCTCCTGGTGTTTGCCTGCTCTGCTGTGCCTGTGTACATTTACTTCAACACCTGGACCACCTGCCAGTCTATTGCCTTCCCCAGCAAGACCTCTGCCAGTATAGGCAGTCTCTGTGCTGATGCCAGAATGTATGGTGAGTAAGGGCACGGGTGCTTTGGCTCTCCTACCCACTATGGAAGCACTATGTATTTGGTTATTTTCTTAGTGTAAGGAGGGTGGTGATTACGAGAAAAATATAAGATGATGAATGATTGGGTCTTAGTTTATTAATCCTTCCTACTGAAACCAGAGAGGTTTCTTCCCTGGGAAGGGAACTTGGAAGTGGTGGCAGTTTTCTTGGCTGTTCACGTGGACCTACTCTAGTTGACTGCTGTTCCCAACCCCAAAGCAGCACATTTCAATAACAAACACAAGGTTTCACCATTGTTCAATACCACCTTCTCTTTTTTGTAAACCTGTAGAAAAGAGGATCCTGATTGTTGGTAGAATCCAAATTTACAGCCAGGATAATTAGAGATGGAAGAAGGGCTCTGGGGGAAAGTCTCCATGTGGCCCCGTAGCTCCATAAAGCTTACCCTGGTTGATGTTTGTGTCTTACTTAGGTGTTCTCCCATGGAATGCTTTCCCTGGCAAGGTTTGTGGCTCCAACCTTCTGTCCATCTGCAAAACAGCTGAGGTGAGTGGGTTATTTGGGTTATTTTACAAGGGAGTAGCTAATACCATACATATTACACCCATGGTCTTCAATTTTAAGGACTAAAAGTTTCTCTTTGCTGGATTTTGAATTAGCCGATTGCCTTCTACAACATATTGGCTAAGTATGCCTGAGCCAATGAGCATAGAAGGTAAAACACCTGTTTTCCCTAGAGCTGCATAGAAAGACTTCCTTTCCAACCCTTCCCCTCTTAAAAGAGAAGTTTGTAGCTTTAGGTAAAGATAGAGCCTGATGGCAAAATCCCCCACATGAAAATTTTCATTCCTTTAGTTAAAAACCGTATCAAGAAAATGGGCTGTGCACAGAGGCATTCATAGGTTTTATAAAAACATTTTCAGTTTGGAACTTCTTTATCTCAAATGAGAGGTAAAATAAGTACATTTGAAAAGGAAAGCACTGTATTGAGAACAGATATTATATACAAATGAAGCAAGGGGAATAAAAGTGAATCCTGGGGAGAAAGGCAGTAAATTATTTCTTTGAAAGCAAAATATTGACTTTAAATTTTGGACCCCTGGGCACAACTGTAGGGAACCAGTTCATTATTTTGGAGTACTATGCTATTTCATGAGTATTCTGTGTTCTGGGTGTTATGGGCAAGGTGCTATGGCGTACACTGAAGACTGGGAGGCCCACATTTAGGGAAGTGAAAACTTAGTTAAAGATGTAGAATTAGCACACAAGAAAGATATCAACACATTCAGAAAGCTGTATTCATGATTTACACTGAGGCATATTATTGCTGTTGCAAGAAACAGTTCTTCCTCTTTCATTTTCCTGCAGTTCCAAATGACCTTCCACCTGTTTATTGCTGCATTTGTGGGGGCTGCAGCTACACTGATTTCCCTGGTGAGTTGAGTTTGAATGATCTTGGCAAGTAAATAGGACTGAGATAGTGTGGGTACAGCTATTCTGAAAGGCAAGAAGGTAGACTGCTTCCATCCTTGAAATGCTGGAGGGAAGCTTCTGGGAAAATAGCAAAGGGTAGAGGCTCTGTACTTCTACTTGCACTGGCAAGGCAGAAAAACATCACAGATTAGATAGGAACAAGAAAAGTGGTATGAGGAAAGAGGGGGTAAGAGATTCATAGATACAATGATAATATTTAGTATTTATAGAACATGTAATGTTGCCAAGTACTTTGCAGTCATAAATTACGGTTAATTCTCAATACATTTTGATCAGATCAATGACAAAACACTGAAACATCACGAAACATGACTTGCTATAGCCTGGAATTCTATATACTATCAATATGAATCCACCTTAGATACTCTCCAATGGATTTAGTTACTCATGTGGAACTACTGGGAGGACCTCCTAACATTATTAGAATTGTTTTGACTATAATACAACGCTATGTCCCAGGTCTTGCTGATAGTGTTACAGTGCCCTGTGAATGTAGTGTGCTCATTGTGCAGATTAAAAACGTAAGGCACTGAAGGGTGAAGTGATTTATCTGAAGTCATTTTATAAGCAGTGATCAGACAAGATGAGTTCACAGAACTCCTGGCCCCTACTGCTAAGGTTTCTATACAGAGTCAAGTAATTTCTCATCTTGTAAAATAAATTGATTCATTAACCAGGAGAGGGCGGTACTGCATGATGTGGCTGTGTGTCTACAGCAAGCACCCTATGACTCTAAGTCACTCGGACATACGGATGTGGCAAAGCCCAAATATTGTTCACTTCCTTGAGGAAAACTCAGTGCTAGATCAAACAGAGGTGTTGAATAAATCTTTATGATTTGATTCTCTGGGCCTGGGCCGTGAGACACATCGGACTTCCAGTCAAGTGTATATGGAGAAAGCCAAGCCTGGGATGTACTATTTTTTGCAGAGCAGGAGTTTTTCCCTTATTTAGTTATGATTTTATTTCTACCCTTCCTCATTCCCAAAGGGATCTGAGGAGGGCATTCTTTCTTTTCTACTCTCATTCACATTCTCTCTTCTGTTCCCTACAGCTCACCTTCATGATTGCTGCCACTTACAACTTTGCCGTCCTTAAACTCATGGGCCGAGGCACCAAGTTCTGATCCCCCATAGAAATCCCCCTTTCTCTAATAGCGAGGCTCTAACCACACAGCCTACAATGCTGCGTCTCCCATCTTAACTCTTTGCCTTTGCCACCGACTGGCCCTCTTCTTACTTGACGAGTGTAACAAGAAAGGAGAGTCTTGCAGTGATTAAGGTCTCTCTTTGGACTCTCCCCTGTTATGTACCTCTTTTAGTCATTTTGCTTCACAGCTGGTTCCTGCTAGAAATGGGAAATGCCTAAGAAGATGACTCCCCAACTGCAAGTCACAAAGGAATGGAGGCTCTAATTGAATTTTCAAGCATCTCCTGAGGATCAGAAAGTAATTTCTTCTCAAAGAGTACTTCCACTGATGGAAACAAAGTGGAAGGAAAGATGCTCAGGTACAGAGAAGGAATGTCTTTGGTCCCCTTGCCATTTATAGGGGCCAAATATATTCTCTTTGGTGTACAAAACAGAATTCACTCTGGTCTCCCTATTACCACTGAAGACAGAAGAAAAAAGAATGTCAGAAAAACAATAAGAGTGTTTGCCCAAATCTGCCTATTGCAGCTGGGAGAAGGGGGTCAAAGCAAGGATCTTTCACCCACAGAAAGAGAGCACTGACCCCGATGGTGATGGACTACTGAAGCCCTAACTCAGCCAACCTTACTTACAGCATAAGGGAGCATAGAATCTGTGTAGACGAAGGGGGCATCTGGCCTTACACCTCATTAGGGAAGAGAAACAGGGTGTTGTCAGCATCTTCTCACTCCCTTCTCCTTGATAACAGCTACCATGACAACCCTGTGGTTTCCAAGGAGCTGAGAATAGAAGGAAACTAGCTTACATGAAAACAGACTGGCCTAAGGAGCAGCAGTTGCTGGTGGCTAACGGTGTAACCTGAGATGGCCCTCTGGTAGACACAGGATAGATAACTCTTTGGATAGCATGTCTTTTTTTCTTTAATTAGTTGTGTACTCTGGCCTCTGTCATATCTTCACAATGGTGCTCTTTTCATGGGGTATTATCCATTCAGTCATCGTAGGGGATTTGAAGATCTTGATTTGTTTTAGAATGATGCACATTTCGTGTATTCCAGTTTGTTTATTACTTATTTGGGATTGCATCAGAAGTGTCTGGAGAATAATTATTTGATTATGACTCTTTTTTAAAATAGGAAAATTGGACATTAAGCATCACAAATCATACTAAAAATTGGCTAGTTAAATGAATCTATTGGGATTTTCTATAAGTATTCTGCCTTTGCAGAAACAGATTTGGTGAATTTGAATCTCAATTTGAGTAATCTAATCGTTCTTTCTAGCTAATGGAAAATGATTTTACTTAGCAGTGTTATCTTGGTGTGTTAAGAGTTAGGTTTAACATAAAGGTTATTTTCTCCTGATATAGATCACATAACAGAATGCACCAGTCATCAGCTATTCAGTTGGTAAGCTTCCAGGAAAAAGTACAGGCAGAAAGAGTTTGAAACTTGAATAGCTCCCAGATTTCAGTCTTTTCCTGTTTTTGTTAACTTTGGGTTAAAAAAAAAAAGTCTGATTGGTTTTAATTGAAGGAAAGATTTGTACTACAGCTCTTTTGTTGTAAAGAGTTGTATTGTTCTTTTCCCCCAAAGTGGTTTCAGAAATATTTAAGGAGATGTAAGATCTTTACAAAAAGACACTTGATACTTGTTTTCAAACCAGTATACAAGATAAGCTTCCAGGCTGCATAGAGGGAGGAGAGGGAAAATGTTTTGTAAGAAACCAATCAAGATAAAGGACAGTGAAGTAATCCGTACCTTGCGTTTTGTTTTGATTTAATAACATAACAAATAACCAACCCTTCCCTGAAAACCTCACATGCATACATACACATATATACACACACAAAGAGAGTTAATCAACTGAAAGTGTTTCCTTCATTTCTGATATAGAATTGCAATTTTAACACACATAAAGGATAAACTTTTAGAAACTTATCTTACAAAGTGTATTTTATAAAATTAAAGAAAATAAAATTAAGAATGTTCTCAATCAAACATCGTGTCCTTTGAGTGAATTGTTCTATTTGACTTCACAATAGAAACTTAATAATTGTACCTTGTTCAAGGAGCTCATTCATTTTTCAGGTCATCCAAGTCATTCTCATAACATTTCTCTGAAATAAATAGTAGATGAATAGATTACTTCTATTTTTATAGTTGAAGACACTAAGAAATAGAAGCAAAGTAATTTGCCCCAAAAATTCAATAAGTACATGTCTGAGCTTGTGTTAAAACACAGATGTTGAAATCAGTTTATTGCCTACTTAAAGGTTTCTTTTCTCTTCGAAGTTGGATTTTAGAGTGTTCAGAGTCAACCATGGTTACTTTGTCAATACCATAGTGGTGCCCCAGTTCCCGGTGCATTTAGATTTAAGTTATTGTTACCTTCTCTTTAAATGGTTTGGATGTTCCAGTAATTGTCCCTTAGTAATTCATACGTGACTAATATTTAGTTTTATTTGAATAGTACTGGATGGAAGGTTGAGTACTTAAAGGACAGAGCAGGTATGTAAAAGGCAATGTAAATGTAAACAGGCTGTGGCAGGGCAGTACTAAAATAAATTAGTGACACCTACCACCCTGGATGGCCAGCCTACTAGCTCACCGGGGACATAGCATTAAAGCCCTTTCACAACCCTAGGTTAGAATTTGGCACCGTTGGACAGCACTCTGATGACCAGCTTAAAGAAAGCTGACAAAATCAGCTGCAGATTCATTGCCCCATAGTTGCAGCTGACAAAAGATTGGAGAGAAAGGAATCTTTAGCTGGAGGGATAACAAATCAGTCACCAGTTAAGGAGCTCCGTTCAAAAGCAGTTTCAATTTAATTTCCTGATTTCTGCTTAACCACAATTAATATTCTGCAAGCAAGTCTGGTTGAATGACTTTAAGACATAAAGAATAAAAATATGACAGGGACTTATTTTAAGACACTGGCAAACAAGGACACAGCACCATATTTTGGAGAATTGATTCAGGGTGCTACAGAGTGATTGTATTTTTGCCTCACAGGAACCGAAAGCCAGTTCCCAAGAAAGCTATGTTTTCCATCTGCCCTTATTTGGCTCTGCCCTCTGGGATGAATCTATAGATGGAGTTTCTAGGCTCTCAGAAGCTGAGAGCATCTCCAGTCTCTCAATTGAGTCCATTGTTCTTAGCTCTCCCACACACCATAAACCTCCTTTTTTCTAACTGAAAGAGCTCTCTTTGTGCTTAGATCAGCCAAAGATCAAGATGCAGCAGTATAAACAAGAAACATTTTCTTACAGCACCAGTTGTGTTGCTTTTCCTATCTTCAGGGTCAGTACTGAGTGTAGTTATGCAGGATGTGGAAGGTGCAGCTTTGTCCAGAGCAACATTTGTTCATTCCTTAATTCCTTCTGTGAACATTCATTGAGAAACTACTAAGTACTGTGTTAAACCCCAGGAAGTTCAAGTTTGGGGGCGGTATGGGTAGAAAGGTGATCAAGACCAGATCTTACACTCAAGGATCTCTCTCAGATTCAGCCATAGCAGAGAGGTATCCCAGGGTAAACTGGAGTGGAGGCAAGGAGTCTGCAGTCTGACCGGCTGACTGCAGTGGGCATCTGAATTCTCCCCTCAGTATGTGGGAGAGGTGGGTGTTAAGGGCCTTGACTTCACGTGGCTCTGGGTTTTTAGGGCACTGATACAAACAAAACTTCAATTTAGAGTCCTGACAACTTGTGACTTGCTCTTTCTATGTCACCCTGCTTCTTGCCTTACATGTGACAGCATTTATGCACACACTGTCACAATGCATGTGCGTGCTTCCACCCACTCAATCATTTGGGGAGTCAGAGGGCACATGAATCAAGATTTACATAAACACAGGCTATTCAGCCTGGCCTTTTGTCTCTATCCAGGCTAAATCTGAGAAGCCAAGGAAGGGTAATGTAAGATACAACATATCAAAACTGCACTTGTACCCCCTAAATTTATACAACGACAACAAAAAAGATAACAAGTCTTTCTCTGTTTGGATTTCCTTAATTGTGAACACAGGTAGTGTGTCTACTTTTTTTGTCTTTTTCTTTTTTTTTTTTTAATTGAGACGGGAGTGTCGCTCCTGGTCCGCCCCAGGCTGGAGTGCAGTGGGCCCCGATCTCAGCTCACTGCAAGCCTCTCCGCCCTCCCCGGGGTTTACGCCATCCTCCTCCTGCCTCAGCCTCCCCGAGTAGCTGGGGACTACAGGCGCCCGCCACCTCGCCCGGCTAGTTTTTTTGTATTTTTTTTTTAGTAGAGACGGGGGTTTCACCCATGTTAGGCCAGGATGGGTCTCGGATCTCCCTGACCTCGTGATCCACCCGTCTCGGCCTCCCAAAGTGCTGGGATTACAGGCTTGAGCCACCGCGCCCGGCAGAAATGTGGCTCTTGCAATCAAAGCTTCCTTCCATGTCCCCAACATGTACCAGATAGAAATTTGGTGACATCTCATTTGACTTAAAATATGAAATCTGCCCACATTATCAAATAAAAGTGAACAGAAACATAAAAATTATCCTATATGCAAATGATATTATTTTCAGAAGCTCAGAGTGGTCTTAGCAAACAAATGGCTCAGCTAATTACTGCTAGGAAGAAAGTATACATATCAGCTTTCCTAAAAATAAATTTGTCATTTTCAGTAGATGTTCCCACCTTCTTGTTGATGAATAGTGTGAGTAATTCCATAAAGCAGGTACTTCAGGATATATTCTGCAGCTGGCTTATCTGAAAGGACAAAAGTAAATTACGTTTCTCAAAGCCAGGTAATATATGGGCGCTTATGGAATTTCTACACATGTGTTGTTGTTTGTTTGTCTTTAATAGCTTAGCGGGTTACAACTACTTTAAAGTATTTCCAGGTTAAAAAATTTTAAGTCATGCTTTATGCCCTATTTGTCTTGGTGTTAAAGAAGATTCAAAATAATTGTCTGGGAAGGGCGTGGTGGCTCATGCTTGTAATCCCAGCACTTTGGGAGGCCAAAGAGGGCATATCACTTGAGCTTGAGGTCAGGAGTTTAGTTTTGCCATGGCCAACGTCGCAAAACTAAAAATACAAAAATTAGCCAGGCATGGTGGTTCAAGCCTATAATTCCAGCTACTCAGGAGGCTGAGGAACAAGAATGCTTGAGCCTGGGAGGCAGAGGTTGCAGAGTGCTGAGATTGTGCCACTGCACTCCAGTCTGGGCAACAGAGGGAGACCCTCAGTAATAATAATAATAATAATAATAATAATAATTGCCTGAAGAGAATCTTGGTCAGGACTGTAGGCAGCCTTACCTCCAACAATAATAGCTGCACTTTATCAAGCACTGTATCTGCAAAGTACGTTACACATCTTATCTCATTTCATCGTCACATCAGTCTTACGAGGCAGAAGCAACTATTATCCTTCAGTTCCATGCTGGAGCATGTGGCCTTGTTGATCACATCAGTTTACACATGAGGATGTTAATCCTATCCTAGTTCAACTGACTGGCAAAACTGCAGGGACTAGCTGCATTCAGCTATTTGTCAGGGAGCAGAACCACTATCATTGTAGCTCAGTATTGTGAACAAAAGTTCTCTGAAAAGGGGCCACAAAGCGAGACCCCGCCTCTACAAAAAAAAAAAAAAAAAAAAAAAAAAAAAAAATTACTCCAGCATGGTACCTAGTGCCTGTAGTCCCAACTACTCTGGAGGTTGAGGTCGGAGTATAGCTATAGCCCCAGAGGCTGCGGCTGCAGTGAGCTGTGATTGCACCACTACACTCCATCCTGGGCAACAGAGCGAGACCCTGTCTTGAATAAAAAATAAAACAAAATTATTAAAAATAAAAAGGAATTTGGAGGAAAGAGACTTTTTTTTTTTTTTTTTGGAAACAGGGTCTCACTCTGTTGCCCAGGCTGTAGTGCAGTGGCACCATCTCAGCTACTACAGCCTTGACCTCCTGGGCTCAAGTGATCCTCCCACCTCAGGCTCCACAGTAGCTGGGACTACAAGCGACTGCCACCAGGCTCAGGGCTAATTAAAAAAATTTTTTTGTAGAGACATGGTTTTGCCATGTTGCCCAGGCTGGTCTTGAATTCCTGGCGGACCTCGGCCTCCCAAAGGGCTGGAATTACAGGCATGAGTCACTGCTCTTAGCTCCAAGGAAAGAGACTTTATTCCAGAGAATAGTTTGGACACCAGAGACACACAACCTTAGGTGTAAAACGAAGGTGTGTTCCACAGAGCAAAGGTAGGGTTCTACTTTTATAGCAAAAGTTTATGCAAATGAAGTATTCAAACTCACCTGGTTCTGATTGGTTGATAGAACTGAGCCCTGACTGGTCAAGGCAACTGAGCCCTGATTGGTTGAGGCAGCTAAGTCATAATTGGTCAAGGCAGATGGCCTCTGATTGGTTGGTTCAGGTGAGCTCTGGAAGTCCCAAAGTTGAACAGTCGTGTGGGTTTTGGAGGAACTTGAGACCTCTGACCTTTAGTTGGCAGATGGCCCCACTTGGCTCTATTTAAAATTTAGGCCCAGTTAGCCACTCAGGATCCATTTTGAAGTATTGCCTATTTCAGGTTCACATTTGTTCATAGTACCTGCCAAAAACTCCCCTGAGAGAAGCAGTGGTTAAGCGGGGATAACCTGAAGGAAGTGTACTCCATTCATTCCCCAGGCATCTCCAAATATTTTTTACTGTGCAATCCTATCAGTAAAACACAATGGAGCCCACACCCCCGCCCCCAGACCTTGCTGCTCTAAGTGTGGTCTTAGAACAAGGAGCATCAGGATCGCCTGGGAGCTAGTTAGAAATGCAGAATCTCAGCCTGATCTACACCCACTGAATCAGAAACTGCACTGTAACAAGATCCCAGGACGATTTGTATACATATTAAAATTTGAGCAGATTTGCTGTGTGTAATTATATAACATGTATTAAAATATATATTAAACATATGCTTTAAGTATTGACATTATATTCATGTACTGCTGTTCTAATATACACATTATAAAGCATGAA